AGCTATGGCAAGTCAGTGGAAGCACAGCCTGATCGTCTGTGTGTACCTGCGAAGTGGCCGCCCAAAGTGCACCCTCAAAGCTGTTGTTTCCAATAGTGGCCAAAACACCGTTTATGCGTATTCACATGGTTGATATGTCCCGTCTTTGTCGCGTCTGGTCCTGTCTGCCTTCCTTCGCATCAGTTCGTGACAAGCCAAAGTGTGTGTGTGTGTGTCAGCTTCAGGAGCGAGCGACTCCAGCGTGAGGTCGAGCTGCTGGCCTCAAGCAGATGCTCATTTTCTTCAAGTTTCATGGGCTTCTCTCTCCAAGGATTGCGTACCCGACATTGATGCCGCTGTGGCCTGCCTTCGAAGAGCTCGAACTCCAGCCTCACCTGCAGGCCAAGCGGCTTCTCCGATGCACTGAGAGAGCAAGTGGCCAAGTTCACCAAGTGTGCATCCGGGCCATGATCCAAGGAAGCATCGGAGGCGCTCTATCCTTCACTCAAACACAGCAACCGGCGGCTTGACGGCACTGTCCTGGTCGCACAGCACTCGGAAGTCAGGAAGTGAAGGAATTTGCAATTGTAAGCGAGGCATGGGAGGAGAAGAGGACAAACACCACCACCGGCGTGTCTTGGATTACGATGTGGCGATGTCTTCAAGTCCTGTTTTGCCAGATAGGCTGGGTCCACTTCTAGGGCGCTGCAGGTGAGTCACTGCCCCAGCATCCGCGCTTCTCTATCAATCCAGGCACACTTGTGTCGTCAAGCGACTTTTTAGGAGGCAACAGTGTTTGTTGCAGGCCTGCCACCACAAATCTCGTTCGACGAGAATACTGGGATCATCAGAGGCTGCCCGTTGATGGAGCACGTGGCGGGGCGCCGCATCCCTAGTGGATATCACTGATCCTGCCGACAAGACCCAACATGTGCCGATAGAACACTATGAGGCACCTACACGATCTCTGTCTGGGATCGCACCAGCAGTGAGGAGGCACTAGGCAAGTGCTCGGTGGCCTTCGCTGTGGCTCCTGCGGAGGCTTGCTTTGTGCTGTTTAGGGATGTTCGGTGTAGAAGTTGAAAGGCTGTGCGGCCTGTCCGCTTCCAGGTTGCAAAGCTGTGCAATGCCGCCTTTGCTCAGGACCATGGCTTCTGCAATTGCTTGGCTTGGTTGTAGACTGTAAAGAAAGTCAGCTGGTGTGCCAGGACGCCACAAGCTCGAAAGAGGCACCCGACTTGCAGACAGTCGGTGAAACTGTGCACTTCAGGGTCTCAGCCGAGGCACATGCTGGCTATCCATCCACGTCTGTAGCGCCAGATCCTGCGACCCCTTCGACGAGGTGCCCTCTCACCGGGGTTCGGCAGAGCAACGCATGGCAGTTTCTTGCAGGGGAGAGGAGATCCAAAGTCCGAAGCCTGCGAGCACTGCGAGCGTCCCAAGTCGAGGCCCCTCCTTGCTGCGCGCATTCGTACCGTCGTACCGGTTGTGTGGTCTGTCGTGATTGTTGGCGCGACGCCAGGACTCGATGCTCCCAAGAGGCTGGGCCTGTGGACATGTCCGGGCTCCGGCGGCTCCGGACCGGAGCCTTGCCTTGGCAGGTCGCCCGCGTTGGCCCGTGTCCAGCCACCAGTGCACTCTGCAAGGATTGGCGTCCGCTCTTCTTAGAAGTTGGGATGAAGTTGTGCCGCTGTGCCCTGCAAAGGCCGTGGATGACTCCGTACGAGTCGCTGAAGCCGTGGCCTTAAGTGCACTGCGTCACAGCCTTTCCCCCCATTTTAGTGGCTTGGGTCTGAGTGAGCGCCCGCATCGGCGCACCTCTCCCAGGACACCTTGGCAGAAGCCTTCGAGACAAGCGGGTGCCGGGTGCACAGACTTTAGAAGCCTGTCCAAGAAAATCCATGGGTTGCGCTGTGGAGGCTCAACAGTCAGCACAGTGCGATCATTGTTTGATTGATCTTGCCTGTCGGCCTCTCCCTCTGTCTTTCTGTCACTCTCTCTCTCTCTCTGGCGCTCTCTCCGCTCTTTCACCTATCCGTGCTTGGATGAATCAGAGAGGTCCAGCAAGCAGTCGAACAAGCATATCTTCAGTTCATACAAACAAAGCTGTGGTAGCTGCGTATCTATGCAGGACGCACAGATTGAAGGAACGAAAAGTCGGTGCCACTGAGGATGCAATCAGCAGGCCCATATGAGTTATGTATGCATGAGCGAAGTTTAGATGTATATACAGATATACACATATGTGTGGAGGTCTCTAGCTATCTTATCGATCTGTCTATCTACTTCGACACCGACGGAACTATGTCGCTGGGCTCATCCGGTCTTGCCCTGTCCATCTCTGCCCCTCTTCTGTTTCTCCAAACGGTCGCATGCTACAATCCGGCGCGGAAAGGCTGCTGTGCAGAACAAGGTTTTAATTGTTGCAGGATGTCAGACTGTTGGGACATGCCGGGGAATTCAGCTTGGGAATACAAGACCCAGGTCATCTGCCTTGGGCCGCCACTCAAGGATGGATGCATCATGCATGGGAGGGTATTCTGGGACTTGAAGACGGAAGGATGAAAGTCCAGAAAGCATAGACGCCCGAGGTTTCGGGACCTCTGCCAGAACCTGCTTTCAACTCGTGCATCTTGTATCAGCAGCTCCAAGGATTGCTTGAGCTTTTGAAGGGGTTAGCAGTGGTTTGGTGTCAGGACCGCGTGGCGCCGTCTGCACCCGGGCAGCCTGGAAGCAAAGGCTGCAGGGCTCAACCCGACGTTGACTCAAAGCAGGTGATAGCAGGTCCTGGCAAGGCTTCTCACGAAGGAAGATCCTCGAAGAAAGAACGGCATCCCTCTGGCGGGGGATTGCGGGGAGGTCGATCCGTTCTGCCTCCAGTGCACCTCTCCACTCCACGTGGCACCGGCGGACCACGGATCTGAGTGCTGTGCCCATCTCTGAGCAATGCCGGACATCCGATCGTCGGTCGGCCTCGATCTCTGCGAAGAGTCAGCAGGCATCCGGTACAGCCCGTCGCCATTGTGCCACGTTTCACCTTGCGCGCTTGTTTCCTTTGCTGAAGGATGGGAGGTTACCAGGTTACTCGTCTTTATTGGGTTGCAGTATCTTGGCAACTTGGAAACATCCGCCATCGACGAAGCATGTCGCGTGCTCGCCTGGGCACGTCTGAAAAAGGATGGGCCAGAGGCCGGCCGCGACGGGAAAAAGACCGGCAGACCGGCACCGGTTGCAGCTTTGGGGACGCAGTGCTCAGTGCCCGCTCCACCTGAACTCATGGTCTTGGCATGTCTTGGCTCCGACAGAGAAGATGAAGAAACACACCAGCTGTTGGACAGTTCAACTGCCCGGACCGCCCCAGCTTTAACCCCACCCCATCCCACCCCCAACCCCCGCCGAACCTCACCCCGAGCCTGAGCTGCACTGAGGCGAGCGGCCCCCTGAGTAATCGCAGAAGCCATGGAGGCCGCCGTTGCGGATCGAGACGCCGAAAAGCTGGCAGGGTTGCTGGAGGCACAGACGGGGCTACGGCGCCCCCTACAGCTTTAGTAGCCGCTGTCGCCGCTGTAGCCTGAGCCGTTTTTGGTCTCTGGGAGGCCAAGCTCTCAGGGGACCGAGCTGCAGCAACCTCGTGGGGTGCCCAGGAGCCCTGAACAGGCCCTGAAACCGCAGAACTTCGGTACTTCGCGCGGAGGTTGTTGCAGCAGACAATCAAGTGCTTGAGCAAGGAGGCTCCCAAGGATGTCTTGCCGGCAGAGGCGCAGTTGGTCTACGATTTGCGGTTGGATCTGTTGGGAATGGGCAGGCTTTTCTTCTTTCTGTGCAAAAGTCGCAAATGCCAGTGGTTCTGATGCGTGGGGCTGTCCTCCGGCCTTGGCCGCGGCGCCCAGAAGATCGCAGCAGCTCTTGGATTGCGGAGAGGAAGCCAAATGCTTTGGTCTTGCTCGAGTGGGGGGACCGGGGAGTGGGGAGTGGCGGGAGGTGCTGGCAACTTTCCCGGGAACATCATTGGCGGCACCTAGGCCGGGCCAGACCATCAATGTCGCCTGATATCCACGCTATCATACCAGAAGCCTTAGCAGCCTTGCTGAAGCCCTCATACCTCTTCGTCCGGCACGTTGCTGTGGACAGGGGCAGATATGACATGCTGTTTACATCGTCTGGCCTGACCTTCGGTGGAAAGACTCCGCCGTGGACCGAGATCGCGACGACAGTGGAGAGCCTGGAGTCTTGAGCGTTGCCTTTCAGGCTTGGCCCCATAGCCTGGGACGTTCGCAGCTGACCTTTTGTTCGCATTCACAGTGATGAGTTCATCGTTGCGACACGTAGCACTGTGAAGACCAGGCCGTGCGCTACTTCCTGAAGTTGCCTTGCTTGGAGACCAACCGAAAAGCCGGAACGGTCGCCAAGAACTACTGGTGCCTCGGCCAAGCCTGTGCCGACTGCCCAGCGCATCTTCCCGGCGCCACTAGATGCCGCCAGGCTGGTTCTCGTCCTTTCCCAGCCACTGCTGGTGGGCAAGCAAGAGCCGACGACTCGGAACGAAGTGCAATGTTTTGCTCTGCAGTCTGCAGACGATCCTGTGAGTTTCGCACCAGGTATCAGTGTGTGGCCTTAAAGGCCAGTGGCACAAAGGCGCACGGCGTCCGATCTCAGCTGAGCGGGGAGGAACCCGAAGTGTGAATTTAGTCCCCTTCTGAGAATGCCAAGCATTGAAATCCTGTGGAACATGCTATCCAAAATTCATCTGCTGGTCCTAGTTAGCAAGGCAGCTTTAGGACTCTGATAAGTCTAAGATGCTCTCTAGAAGATTCAAGTTATGAGTATGCGTTGAGTCTTGCGTCTGTGTGTGTGGGGGCGACTCGTAGTCGATCTGCTGGAGCTGGAGACCTTCATTGTACATACATCTAACAAGCAATCGAACACGCATGTGAACTTCTGTCGCTTGAAATGGACCGAAGCCCGTAAACTAGCTAGTGGTACGTAGCTACGTCGCCACTGACTTTTTGAGTGCATGACCCCGAGCTTTTCGCAGCAGGCTCCACAGTGCCCACCTGCACTTCAGTCTGGAACCGGGGACCATGAGCGCTGCGCTGCAGTCCTGAAGGCAGGAAGATGTCCGTGACACGCTCTGAAGAATGGTAGGACAGACAGAGACAGCGTTTGGGCTTCCGGTGTTGAGGCTCTGACAGCAGCGGAAGAGAAGTCAGAGTATCTGGTGCCGCTGCAAGCAGTGGAAGGTTTCAGGCTCAGACTCAGAGCTGCGGGGCGTTAAGCATCTGTCCAGGTGCTCTCCCGATTCTTGGAAGCCATGATAGGCGTTGACAAGGCCTCAAAGTGACCCGCGAAAGCCAGGGCGGGCAGGGTCCTGTCCGGCTGTCCGGCTGAGAGGCTCTGTCGCCTGAACCTACGACCTGCGTCTTGGAGGCAGTCCAGGCCTGGCGGGGCGTGGAGGCGGCTCGGCTTGGCAGAGAGAGTGAGGTGAACGGAGTGGACTTTAGTTAGGAGTGGACTCTTTACACACTAGACATCATTTTGGGCTCATCCAAGGAAGGTGTCTTGTATCCACTTGCGGCGGGCTTGTGCTTCTTGCCCAAACCCGCGACCTTCTTGCCCGCAGAGGCACGTGGAGGGCATGAAAAATTCGGGGCCTCGCAACGTGGCGCCTCGGAGGACATCTTGGACGCAGAAGCTGGCTCCAACTCTGGGCCGCGCGGAGGGGAGCTGATCATCCATCGCTACAACGACAAGAAGCCCACCGTCTTCAGCAATCTGGCAGGCTCCGAACTCCTCCCCACTGCCGGTACTGCTGTCGGCTTCGGTGATCGGTGCATTGCTCTTCCCCAAATCTTGCCGTGCACGTGAGGTGCAGATGCCAGCGCTCTCTTGGCATACCTAGCTTCTGTAGTCCAGCATCGCGCAGACAATGTCGACCCAGACATGGAGGCTTCCCTCACGACATGACGACCTGCCTTTTTTGCACAGTTCTGGGGACAGTGTCTCTCCAGGACGACGAGGAAGAAGATCCCGACTTTGTCGTGGACGCTCCGCCCGCCCTCTGACAGCAAGCTTGCAGAGTGAAGCCTGCGCTTCTGTTTTCAGTGCGAAATGGACGTTCTGAGTCTCCGAGGCGAAGCGCCGGGTCGTGACCAGGTGCCCCGCTTCGAAAGCATAGGTCGCTGTTGATGTTGTTGCGGTGCACATTTGAGCATCTGTCAAAACTTCTGTAACGGTAGTTAAGAGTTGGGTGGTCTTGGAATGCCAGATTTGCCAAACCCATCGAAAAGCGATAGGACTCCCCTAGAAGCGATACGATCAACGAAGATCGTCCGTTGTGAGATTTGATGGCTGCCGTCGCATTTGTGCCAGTGTGATATGTGGCTAGGCAATCGATTCCCCATTCGATACCCTAATCGATACCCACCAGATCGTTGTATGAGCGACAGCCTAGTCTGACGGACTCATCATCGTTATTGTTGCTCTCAATACTGTCACTGCCATTACAAACCACTATAGCCAACAGAACCATATAACTACTGCTGCTTTCACTTTACTACACACACGCTCATTTGCTTGCAGGAGTCAAACTCGTGGCACCGACGCGGCTCCTTGTTTGCAGGGCCAAGTCCTGGTCTTGTCCTCGGTTGCGGTGCAGTGAAGGTTCTGGTGGAGAAAGTGGGCTAGCTTCTCTGAGTTCCCCTCGGTGTCCAGTCGTCCACTCTGCCGGGGCAAGCTCGGCAGACAAGGGGATGTGGATGTCGTGTGCGTGGAAAACAGTGCGGCGTAATTGAAGCTCGGCAGCCGTCACCACCTGGAAACATCAGGTGTTTTCCCTGCGTCAAAGGCGAAGAAAGCAAAGCTTGCAGCCAATGCTTCTCTGGGAGCCTGGCTTTTCACTTCATCATACTTCAGCAATCCAGAGGCTTGATAGCACAGTCCATGACGCAGTGACAAGTTTAATCGCCGCTGACAGAGAAGAAACGAAAACAACGGCGACAAAGCTCCCACTAGTGACAGCGTTAGCCGTTTCAAGGCGGTTTCCTTGACTTGAGCGACCGAGAGGAGTAGGAAAAACCGCTTAAGATTTCATGCAGTGCGTCTCCTCAGAGATGCCATGGCAAATCCGTTTGCATCTGCCGACGAGGACATTCTGGGAAGATAGGTAGAGCACGAGTGGTTCTCATCGATGGAACGCCACAGCATTTTCCAGCACTTTGGCGAGGCGATATCCCGAAAAGTTCAACAGAAAGAGTTCGCTCGTTGCTGTGATAGGATTGTAACATCATTTCTTATTGCCATTGAGTTTGATGGACTTCATGGGATTGTATCGATTGTTTGGTAGAAGCTGCATGGCATAGCATTTTGCATGTCCATCGGTTTGATAGGTTCAATTAGTTAGAGCAGTTTTGAACACATGCATAAGGGATTTCCTGTCATTCTCACGAAATTCAATGGGTTTCATCATTGATTTTTGAGTACAGTTTGAGTGGGAGCTTTTTAGGATGTTGCTGTTACTAGTTTTCTACTGAGACTTGGAATTCAAAGGATTTCCATTGGTTTATTAGGGATTCCAGAGCATTTCAAAGGATTCCCAAGGTTTCCAGGAGTCCAACGTTTTTGAATGCCAGTTTAATCGGATGTTAACAGTTAACAACCATTTAACATATTTTAAGCGATTACCAATGAGTTTGATGGAAGCCCGTGAATGTTAATGTCTTGTAAATACTAAACTATTCGGACTTACACATGTTCCTGGTTGCGTTGTCATGGGTGTCCGTTGCTGCTCATGAGACTCAAAGGGAATTCGTGTCTTGAATACAAATTCAAGTGCAGACACATGTTAGTACAGTACACATGGTGTTTCATACAGCTGTATGTTATTTAAATAGCATTTTCCTGGGGTGTCTTTGGTTTTGATGACATTCAATGGAGTTGGAGGGTTCTGAATGCAATGTTAGGAATTTTTTTGTAGCGATTGAAAAGCCTGTTCCTGGATTTCCAATGATTTTGGATGGCATTCAACGGACTTTCACTGTTTTGCAGCCTTAATTGGATGTTGAGAGCGTTTTAGTGGTTCAACTGGATTACAATGGTTTTGGAATTCATTTGGAATTTCGAAAAAACATCATGGATTTCCATTGGTTTTTATGGAAATCAATGGATTTCGACGGAAACATTCGAAAGTTTTTGTGCATATATGGTTTATGTGTCTATGTGCTTAGTAGCTTACCTAAACACGCATATTTGTGCGCAAGTATATGCACAGTTAGATTATGAAAATAACTTCGTATCTAGAGGGGATGGGTGCAGTTTAAACACAGCAAGGGAATTCGCGGTTTCCCAATGCTTGCCGTAGCGAAGGGCCGTAGAAATTGCAAATACTCAATAGCTTACCGGAAAATGCAGCTGTGCCGATAAATTGCTATTGCCCACTAGCTTGCTGTAGCAGAAGACCCAAAGAACAATCGCAAACACATAGAAACACACACATCAGTTTTTTGGGCCCCGTGAAGAATTGAACAGCCCTTCAAAAGCAGGGAGCTTCTTGTGGCAGGGCTGTTGTGCTGGTGAGCCCAAGATTGGTTTGCATGTGTGTGGTCTCTGACACCTTTTTGAAGGAGTCCGGCACGAATCCCTTCAGTACTGATCTCCAGGCACAATGGGTTCGCTCCAGTTTGTCTTGCAAGCTTTGTCTCAGTCTGCCTCAGCAGGCAGATGCAGCTCAGCCACGTGCGACCGACCCGCCGCCCGAGGCGGGAGCATGAGCATGTCTCCCAAAGAAGGATGTTAAGGCTCCCAAAATGTACTGGCAGGCTGCGAAGAACCCTTTTGCGGAGGGAAGCAATGCTGCAGCTGAGGTGTGCTTGTACCGACAGCTTTTGCAGATCTGTTGCGATGTGATATCAGCTTTCCAGCAAACTGTGAGGCGGCTCCGCATGGGGATGATGGTGACGTGAGCTTGCCGAAGGAGTTCAGCGCCCATTCTGTGGAATCTTCTCAGGCCGACAAGCCGAGTTGCTCGTTTTTCAGCTTTGCTGCTACCGCTGTGTCACTTGGAAAGGTGGATGCTCATAGGCAAAGCATGTTCCAGAATGCTGAAGCATGTGCCGTTTGTGGTGCTTGGTTCGGAACCCAGTGCTTAGGGACGGTCTTTGAGCTGACGAGCGCGCAAGTTGAGCAGCTTAGGCTTGGTAAACGCTGGATGCGACCACGGCACCATTGTCGAATGCCTCATGGCAGACATTGTCTATGTTTTTGCAGTATCGTTTCCCCAGCAGATCCCAGCAGCCAAGGTGCAATCTAAGCGTTTGTGCGGCCTGCTCGCCCAGCATGATCGTTACAAAAGGCACACGGTTGACGGCATGTGCAACTGTGGCCGATGTGCTGACGGTGTTGAAGGTGATGCTGGCCTACAGCGCGTTTGCAACCCGTGCGTGACGGCGATGCAAGAAGCGGCCGAGCTAAAGGCAGGGGTCTCTTGGGTTCTCTTGGGGTCAGGCGGCGGGATGGGAACGCGCTGTGCCCCGAGGAGCGAGTGTTCGCGCTGTCCGATGCCCTGGACAGCATCACGGGGGAGGGCGATGGCAAAGACGGCGACGACTCCGAAGCCAAGAAGTCCTTGCAACAGGGCTTCCTGGCATGCGAGGTGCGACCATTCTGCATATCGACGCATGCCTGGCACACTTGCGAAAGCCACGAGGCATCAGTCTCAAAGCTAGAAGACCTTCGCCGACGCCATGAAGTGGCCTTCACCCAGGAGTGCAACTTCTGTTGTTTCTTCAAACGTTTGTCCTGAGCCTGAGCGTCTTTCGTGGTGATCTCTGTGTAGCACTGGAGTCAGGTTGGTGTATTGAAGAAAGAACTTCAAGAGGTGCCATGCAGTCTCGCACGGTGCCCCGCGGATATGCTGCACGGCAGGCAGCAAAGTCCAGAGAAGAGGATGCAAGAAAGCGGGCCGCTGCTGCCTCTGCAATGGGGTATTGTGACTTGCATCAAAGTCGGGTGGGTGTTGCGGTGTTGCCCTTTTTTGTTGTCCTCAAGGCTCTGGAATCTGAGTTCCAGGCAGGCGGGTGCGGAGGGCGATAGCCTTGCGTAGTTCAGTCTGAGGTCTGCGCTAGCTGTGTGCTCTTGCGGGTTTTTCAATATTGAGGCGAAAAGCCGAAGCGAAGAGCAGCACAGGGCCCGCCTCGAGGCTGCACTCCACACATCTCTGCACTCCGAGTGTGTGACTCTTTCCGACTTTGGTGGCTTTGAATTGAAAGAGCTCCTACACTCCCTCTGAAGGGGTGTCGACAATGAGGGCTTCGACGCATTGGGAGAATCTGGTAATATGCAAAGGCCTCCCAAAGCAGTTCTAGGTAGCTGTGTCCAAACAGCCTGCAAGCTTCTCCGGCAGGGCAGTGGGAGCCGTCCGAAGCGATTCGACATCCCTGTGCCTTCTCGGAACGCCGCACTGTCGGGAGTGGGAAGCCCAAGCTGAGTAGAAGTTAACGCTCATCTGAATCTGGCATCGTCGGACTGAAAGCCACTGAAAGCATCACCCGCAGCAAACGAATCCTCGCCCGGCTTCTTCGAGCACCACTTTCCTCATTAAGTCTCAATGGGCAAGAGAGCACCGTCTTGAGTTTTGGAGGGTAGAAATCGGTAGAAATGCCTTGGAATGGTGTCAAGGAGTGGGAGGGGCACAATGAGGCAGACGAGCATTGTTCTGGCCGTCCAGGAGCAGTCATTGCAGGAGCGGGAGCTTCGGGATCCAAATGGGTAACAAAATCAGCAAGTGCAAGCAACATGCTCCGCCCGAAGCAGGCGCACATCCACACAGCATGGGGAAGTGCTGGGAGCCTCTAGTGAAAGGCAGCCATTCCTAAAGTCTCAGCCGCGCAGCCGTGATGTTTGCCGGAGGCGCAAGCTCGAGAAGAGATGCAGAAAAGGGCCTGCGTGGAGGACAGGAAGGGTCATGGCAGCTGCTGGAGTCTGAACGCGCTGCCTTTACACTTCTGACATCCGTTTTTGGAGGCGTAACCCCGCTGCAAATGGCGAGAGGGCGGGATAGACAGAGAGGCTTTCACGCTCGAGTGCGCTAATCGGGCATGCTCGCGCTGTACATATGCCACGCGTGTGCGCAGTGGGGGAGCAGCTTTCCTGTTGTCGCAAGCAAGCAACTCCTTGTTTGTGAAATCCTTCGCCGAGGGGCAAGGGATTCAGCACGGCAACATCAGACCTTTCGTTGCGACCGATCGGATGATAGCCCATGTAAGCCAAGGAGGGGGCAAGGAAACGAGAGGGTGGCGCGGAGAACTATAGAGGGGCAGTCGAACAACCTGACAGTCCAGTCGCTGTGGAGGCAACGGAAAGGACATGAACGCTGTCCAACTCACGTGCAGCTGAATTAGTATTTGTCTTGCGCGCACGTAGCCACTGTAGACTGCCATCTCCTGTTGAGTCTTGAACTCCTGTCTCACTGTCTGTTGCTTTCCATAGCTCATGTGTGATAGATGACTACGAAGAGACAAATGTCAGGCAACATCACAGCAGGGCAAATGTGTGTCTCGTTCGCCGTTGAGTTTGCGCCTGTTCGTAACACAACACTTATCGACTTATCGTCGACAAGAAGGAAGTTGTTGCCAGCAGCGACTGCGAGATAGCCTGGCAAGGAGGAGCTGCAGGAACTGCGAGCAGAGAAGAGCAAATTGCAAGAAGAACTCCGGAACGTGGCAGAAGTCGCTAAAGGCTCACTTGAGGCATCCACACGGGCTAAAGTTTGCCTACTGCATCTTCCACGGGATAGAAAAAACATCAGCGCATTTGCCTCAGACCTCGATGCCGGCCAGACACGTTGGTGGGTCCTCTACACCTTCTTCACAATCGGCTGGCTGCTCAGACCGTTTCTTCGTGGGATCAAGTGGGGAAAAGTGGGAAACTAGAGTCTCGGCAGATGAGTCCTCGCTGTTGGGAGGTCATCGCCGACCCGTTGGTGAGACCTGAGCTACCCACAGAGGGGCCCGCTCAGAACTGTTCAGACAACTGCAAGAACCGTTGCAACATGATGTGAGCTTCGAGTCTCACGGTCAAGGATTGTTCTGTTCGCCCAGGACGCCGGAGAGAAAGCTTTCTGGTAGCGGTCTTGCCGCATGAAGCGTAACAATGATAGCAACTAGCCGTCTTCGCTGCCTCCAATTTGTGAGCCGCCGGCGGTCCACAGAAGCAAATTATGTTCTTGTTTCAGCTGGACACCAAGTCCACACCATACCTACTCCGCCAGCGCTACCCATGCAGCCAGCTCTGAAGAGGGCAGCAGTCCTCACCCCTTCAGCCTTGCAAGCTTGACAGCGACGAGTATGCAGCCGCCATGGCGACCATGTCCGTGCCGAAGCTTCGAGTGGACCTGGCTCAGACCGCGGAGCTGGAAGAGCTGTGTCAAGCTTGCAAGATCTCGCAAGAGTTGTGTTGCGAGCTATGGCAGGTCGACATTCCTAGCCTGGCAGTGCCCGAGTCCAGGCAACTCGAGCCCGGATTCTCCGCCGAGTTTCTCTGCCACTACTGCGAGACGAAGGACTTCCGAAGCACCTTTCAATGCGGGCAACAGAGAGATGCCCCGGTGCAGGACTTGGAGCAGGTCGCGTATCTGGAGATCCAGGCCAGAAACCAGACTAGCCGACTAGCCCAACATCTCAAACTCGACGACTCCGCCAGCACAACCTCTCGAACAAAGCACCGCTCCTTTCTACTCGGGATGCTTACTGTACGCCCCAGAGATTGAAAGAACAGCGCGAGCAGTACAGCCAAGCTCGCGGGCAGCAAACCTCCCTGGCGGAAAGACTTTCAGACCCGTTCAGAGCTGCAGGCTCGTGTGTGTGCACAGGCGGCTCCAGGGGTTGTTCTTCCCTCCTGCCTCCAGACAAAAAGAGAGTGCGATGTACGAAAGTTGGCGTGTCCGGACGAGCTTGAGGCAGGGATCTCCAGTGTCGATGACTGTCTTTCGGATGAGTAAGCACACGGCCGCAGCTTAGCATCAGCTGGATTTTTGGGCTGCATGTTTATTGGGGATAAACTGTGAGTGACAGGTCGGTTGAAGCTGTCCTGCGCCTTGCTTGAAGCGGTGGCACGAATCTGTTACTGCATCTCAACTGGAGGTTCATGCACCCAGGACCGTCTCTGAGCAGTGGCGAAGCTGGCTAAACTGTTGCACGATGCAAGGGTTTTTTTGTACCCATTGAAAGAAACAGTTCCTGTTTTTGCGCTCGACCGCAACTTGCCTTCAAGTCACCTCGACGGCACAGCGAACTGCGAAAGGAGTACCAAGACACTTTACATTCAAAGTTGTTCCCCTGAGACTCGATGCTGCATCATCAGCATTGATTAATCTTCAATGCGGACAGTGTTGCGCCTCTCAAAATTGAGTCGACACTGTCTCTGTGTGTGTGTGTGCGCCGACTTTTTGCGCGACGAAGAGACAAGACTTTGGAAAGCCTCCCACCAAAATATGAAGAGCAAACTTGACAAAACGCGCCAGATGCTGGCATAAGTTTCCGGACATAGCATCTGCACCAACTACGCATTGTCTGGAACTGCAGCATTTAGAGATAAGGCTATGTGCGCTTAACCGAAAGAATGAACAGTTCCGAGCGACTCACATGCACTGGAGTAGTTCCGGTATTGTTGCAGGCCATATGTACAACGATTCTTGACGGAACTTTGGAGTTTTCAGGGATTGCGAATCCTTCTATAAGTGGCTTTCGGGCTTGCGGATTTAAAGATTTGTGAGGTGGAAGGTTAGGGCTTACGATTAGAGTGTAGAGTTATGCTCTGCTTTTGTCTTTCTTCTTCTAGTGCCTTCTACAAGAAAGGGTTTGGGTTGAGCCCGGAGAACAGAGTCTTTCTGTGGTCGTCATGGGCAGGTGGACTCTGCAACGCAGAGCCTCGAACTCCTCGGGGAACATCTGCCGAAGCTTCGACAGCTGAAGCTAACGGACCCGTCGAGCGTGCTCAGCCTTCGGGACTTAGGCGCGTTCATGATCATTTGACCCCGTGCATGGCTTTGCTGCGTTGCTTTCCTTTCGAGGCTCAGGGCTGAAGCACTTGGAGGTGCTCTGGATGAGCCGCTGTGGTTTGCAGGACCTGGGCGGGGCATCAGCCCTGCTCCCATCCCTCAGGCACGGACTTCACAAGTGTGTTCCACCGACATGACATGCACATGTGTGGACAGGGAGCTCTATCTATCCTTTAATGATGTGGTTGCTGCATGTCTGCATCAGCATTGAATAGCTCCTTTGCACTTGCTGCAGACGCTGATGGCCAATCTTGGGAGACATCTGCCATGTTGCCCATGCCCGGCGAGTGTCATGATCCTCAACATCCTTGCTGAGGATGCGACACCTCTCAGTGGGTGCGAGCAGTTGGAGGTTTTAGATCTTGAGGGCAATGCCATCGTCGACGAGGAGGATATACGCCACCTGGCCAGCATCAGGGGAGAAAGAACGGGAGCTCCACGAAGCAGCTCTGGCTCTCCGCGGGCTCCTAGCAAAGTGATCGATTTTCAGGAGCTTTGGGCAGCTGCTCGCACCTGCGACACTCGGAGAGATTCGGTGCCAGCTAGGTCCGCTCAACCTCTCGGCTCAGATCAAATTTTGAAGGAAGAGCTTGGAAGCCCTTTCGAAACAACTGAGGAGAGCTGAACCTGGCAGGCAACCCTGTCTATCGGACCTCCTGCAAGACTCTCGGCCTGTTCAAACCCTGCTTGGGTGTGACACCGCTGTGTTCTGAAGCCAAAGATCGAGACTTTCCGGCAATTTGGACAAGCTGAGGCCAGGTGCCCTGACGCGTGAACGGGTGATCGAGCTGCTTCCAAATCTGGAGGTTCTAGACGATCTCCGGACGAAGATGCCTGGCTAAAATCTCGTAGCTGGAAGAGCGCGCAAGTTTCAGCCTGTGATCGGTGAAGTATGCACGTCGGGGGTGATGTTGCAAAGTGATGCCTGCAGTGTTACACGTTAATCGTAGAGGTTGTAGCCAAGGATAAGCTCAATACAACGATCATTTGAGTGCATCTCGGCTTGCATGCTTGCGGCCCCATGCGCCAGATTCGCCGTTTTCAGGGGGAATATCTGCCTTGTCTCATTACCAGTACCTGTGCCCGTCAAGGTGTGGATTCAGATGTCGAGGACCCTTTTGACACCTGGACTAATGCTGGAAGCATCCTTTCAAACTCAAAGTTTGTTTGGCAGCGCTCAGGATGCGAATTTTCCGAGTCGCGGCACTGAAGCTCCAGCAAGTGAGCCAGAGGCGAAGGGTTGTCTCGCAAGGTACTCGGCATGTCATGCGGTACATGCGGAGGAGGGCAGAGACTTGGGCAGTGCCGATGAAGACGATCAAGAGCCCCAGCTGCGGCCTTACCGAAGACCTTGGCTCGCGATGCAGATGGCCTCAGAGAGGGCTTGCAAGGCATCCCCTGCTGCTTGCGGGCTTTGCCGACAGGCGTGAAGCCGCTGGCTTACAAAGAAACCGGGCTTGCGCTGTAGTCTTTCGAGGGAAACCGTGAGAACGCATAAGGAGATTCAGGGCAAAGTTCCTTTTGCTGGCGAGCCAGACGAGACCGAGCTTATCCTGGAGCAGCTGAAGCGGGCCAGGAGCGGATCTCTTGGTTGTGCCTCACCCCACCGCCTCGGATAGGAGTGGTGCTCGACGCCTGCGTACTGAGTTCAACCTTCCTAAATCAGATCTCTTCAGCAAGGCTCTGTTGTATCCAAAGAGTCATGCCCGGAATCCTGCAAATCCTGAACCTGCGCATGCGCTCCAGATCGTGGAATCCGGAAGCCCAGCAAAAGCCAACGCTGCCCTTCTCGCCACCAAATACTTGAGAATCCTCTCTCATAGCCAGGAGACAGTTGAAAGGCCATGCCTTCACAGCCCGACCGGCCTTTGGCGGGTCGGGTCCGGGAGCCTCCGGCTTTGGCGTGCAGCTGCCGCGCAGGACGCCATGAGAGCAGCAGACCACAGGGATGTGCGGAGTGGGCAGGACAAAAACGGCAGAGAACCAAGAGGGTTTTCGGCCAGCGACTGCCTCGAACTCCCGGCTACGTTTCGAGGAACCTCGCTGGCAAGCATGGTGCCCTTTCTGGAACGGCTTGGGCCTTTAGCTTCAGGCCTCTGCCCGATGGTCCGAGGCAAGTGGAAGGGGGAGGGGGGGAGGGGGGCGGAAATGGGGGAACGCGCAGCTCACGACCAAATGTGCACACACACACACATGTGCACATTCTCTTGGTTGTCCTGTTCCGACTACGCCAGCGATTTGTGCAGTGCCTGTGGGGTGGAGTAAGGATATGATGCCAGCAGACTCTGCCAGTGACCTTACCTGTGGCTCGGCAGTGTGATGATCGAGATTCAGCAGAGAACGAAATCGGGACCGCAGGTGGCGAGACGCTGGCAGGGAACCCTTTGCGAGCACTCCGCCAGCGACACCCTTCCGGAGCCTCCACTGCTCGGGAGGAGGGCCCGTGTCCTTCAGTGTCCTTCCCATCGGATCTTAGACTTTGTGCCATGCTCGTGGAGTCGTTGCAGCCTGCAGGTAGGCATGGACATTCGGCAGCTGCTGCAGCGCTATCAGACGTACACACAGCCCCTGAACTTAATCACTTTCGCATAGCGGCATAGCATGACTGGTTATTTGAATCCTACCGTGCCAGCGGGCTCGCCAATGAAACCAGAGGCCTGGCATAGCGCGGTCGCCGATCACCGCAACTTGGCAACGGGACATGTTGAAAGCGCGTGGCACACATGTATCGTGTTGCGAGATCATGCCAAGGGCGCAGACCAGAGTCCAGCCGCTGGGAAGCAAAAGAGATCCGAACCGCCTCAACTCTTCGGAGGTTGTGTGGGAGTGCTCTGTTGTTGTCTCTTCTGGGAACTTCTGGGGTGTAAAACGATCAAGCCAGAGGCACATTTCGGCTCTTTTCAGCACGCGATCTTTGCCCGTAATGCCAAACTTGTTTTCGGCGTTTGGCGGCTTGTTCATTCGGATTCGGTATTTTGCGGCTGCCATATGCAAGCACATGCTGTGCCACGAAGCTTGCATTCGATCTGCGACTCTGTATTTTATTTTTTCACAAATGTTGTGTGACCCAGGCGGCTCGCGCGCCCACTCCCGACGTTCGCGTAAGGACTCCGAAGAGCCGCCAGTCCGCAAGCACTGAGAGCACACAGAGCATGTTGCGAGACTCCAAACGGCCCGAGGCTTCGGTTCCCTCCCGGAGCCAAGGCACGTGCCTCTCTGCGTCATAGGGTTTCCGCAGCAGACGTCTCGGGAGGACACCGTCTGGAAAAAGCCCGCAGGCCGAATCACTGTGCAGTTTTCAATGCCACCGGTAAACGCTCCCGATTTTGCAGGTCTCCGAGATCACTCCGTCGCCGTCGCCCTCCCCAGAGTCCTCGCAGAGGCCAACATCACCGCCAAAGTCGCCGGTGCGGCCAAGCGGGAGCCGAAAAGGACGGCCGCCGCTGCCACGGAGCGTTTCGCCCGCAACCGTGGCTCTGAGGGTTGGGCGGGGATGGTGGCGTTGCCTTTTGACTTCACAAGGTAATGGCTACCATGCCACTTCCGCCGGAAGCTCTGAGGTGCTGGAGCTAAGCTGAACGGTTCAGTAACGAGCGCTGTTGATTAGGTTTGCGTGTTCGGGCAGTCGAAATGTGACATGCCGGTCATGTCAAACAAGAAATGTCATAACACTCCTCGCTTTGACACTTGTGGCGAGTTTTCCCCCGGGTGTGTGCCTGGGCATGATCTCGACAGCCAGAGCACCTACCCCATACCAATACTGCCCGAGCCTGAAGTTTGACTGTAGGCCGCGATGCAAGTATCAACGCCCTCCATACTTAGTATTGCGAGAAGATCCGGTGCGCTGGCTGAGAATGGTTGCATTTCTTGGCAACATGTGTTCGGGACCTTGAAAGCTGGAGGAAATGTCCAGCTGCGACACATGCTGATGAAGCCAAATGGGCGACCTGAAAGTACTGACCATGCCGTGAGTCACGGGCATCGGCCGACGAGGTGGTTTGAGAAGAGGGAACCGTGCTCTCTGTAAACACCGCAGCCTTGAGAGATCAAGGGGACGAAAGTTCCCGAAACGATGACCCACAACCTCGTGCTGGGACTTCGCGCAGCACGCGAAAATTTGAGAGCAAAACATGTCCCTTGGAATGCAGTGGTACATGCGATGAGAGGAGGATTCAGGAGGAAGTGCCCATGCCGTGTTGTTCTCAAGCGTACATTCTCCGTGAAAGCAGCAAGGGCTGCAGGGTTCCAATAACTGAATGTGGGCGGTAACATGTCAAACTGTGACTGGCAAGGGCAGAGCACACCCCAACCCACTTGTGTCCCTTGTGGCCCTTGTGAAATGCTGTCTTTGTTTCGTTTATTATTAGTTTTATTTTCTCTCTCTCTCTCTCTC